GATTGCTCAGTGGTTTGGAACATGTTCTGCTCTGGCAGAGAACCTAAGTTTAGTTCCCATCACCCAATGTTATGGCTCACAGCTGCCTGCCACTTCAGCCCCAGGGGGCTCAGAAGTGTCACAGTACACACCTGCAAGCTCTTTCACATTCACATACCCATACACTGGTACATGGACACACACACACACACACACACACACACACTCACAACATTTTAAAATAAAGTAGTATATTTGGTATTTACAAGGCACAGGCAATATGCTCACTCAAACACCAACTCTTCTACCTTGTAGAGGAGTAGCCTAGGGCACCTTTTTATTGTATTATTTTTTTCTAGAACTTCTTTCCTCCCATGTAAAAAGACAAGTTTGGAGCCAATAGCACAGTCCTAGAATCCTAGCCCTCAGGTGGTAGGAAAACAAAAGATCAAAACTTCAAGATGATCCTAAGTTATATGGAGAGTTCAAAGCCAACCTCACCTACATGAGACTTTGTTTTTTGAGACTCAAAAAAGCAAAACAAAAACAAAAATGAAAGTATAAAATAACAACAACCCCCTCCCCTGCTGCCAAAAGAAAAAAATAAAACTAAAAAGAGATGGTTGGACTAGACATGCAATTGCTTTCAGCTCCTAACACTCTCTAACATATGATTCTGGACCAATTTGAATGGCATCCAAGGAAATTTGGTTAGTGAAATCCCAAATCTCATTATGAAGTGTCCCATGGATAAGAGCCCAGGACAGTTATGGCAGAACTTGAGGAGACTATTACTTGAGATAATAACAGTGTTTGTTTTTATACAACACTTTCATAGCTATAATCACCTATAATCTCTGTTCATCTTCATCACTGTGAGGCAGGAGTATAATGCTCATTATCCACATTTTAGGAAAGCGTTCCAAGGCCTTAAAAGCTCAAAAGACTTGTCTGGAATCCCAGAGAAGCCATGTTGGCGTCAGGATTGGCATCATGTCTGTGAACTTGTGAGAAGTCTGTGCATTTGTGCTGGGCTCTCTCCAGACTGACCTCAGTCTTCTGGGCCATGCCTGCCTAATGAGAACCCCTCCACATCCATCCATCTGGATGAGGTTAGCAGCCATCCACTTCAACTTGGTTTATAAGATCAGGAGGGATGAGTCTGAGTAAAGAAATGTTATAGGAAAGGATTCCCAGTAGAGTCACCTTGAGAAATAAGAGACCCTTGAACAAAATCCCAAGTTCTATTGGTTCTGTGTCGTAGTTTGCTTTCTATTGATATGATAAACAACATAACCAATTTGTTTTTTGTTTTTTTTATTTTGTTTTTTTTTAATTTTATTTTTTTTCTTATCAGTTACATTTTATTAACTCTGTATCACAGCCGTGTCCCGATCCCTCATTCCCTCCCAGTCCCTCCCTCCCTCCCTCATCTCCACCATGCCCCTTGCCAAGACCACTGATGGGGGGGACCTCCTCCCCATTCATCTGATCCTGTTTTATCAGGTATCTTCAGGACTGGCTGCAAAGCTCTCCTCTGTGGCCTAACAGGACTGCTCCTCCCTTGGGGGGTGGGGAGGCCAAAGAGCCAGTCATTGAGTTCCTGTTAGAAATAGTCCTTGTTCCCCTCACAATGGGAAACCAATTGGTTACTGAGCTACCACAGGCTACATCTGAGCAGAGGTTCTAGGTTACATTCATACATGGTCCTTGGTTGCATGTCAGTCTCAGAAAAGACCCTGTGCCCAGATATATTTGGTCCTTGTGGAGCTCCTATCCTTTCCTCATCAGACTAACTCCCCTTCTTTCTTATGATTCCTGTACTCTGCCAAAGGTTTGGTCATGAGTCTTTGCTTTGAAAACACGGCTAGTTAGAGTCTTTCAAATGCGCTCAGTAGACTCCTGTCATATGTTCAATGCACATCCCATCTGTCTTTCTAAACGAGGATTGATAATCTTACCCCATGTCCGCTCTCTTGATTATCTTTTTTAGGTGTATAGATTTCATTATGTTTATCATATCTTATAGGTCTATATAAGTGAGTATATACCGTGTTTGTCTTTCTCCTTCTGGGATATTTCACTCAGGATGATCTTTTCTAGATCCCACCAATTGCCTGCAAATTTCATGATTTCCTCCTTTCTGATTGCTGAGTAGTATTCCATTGTGTAAAAATACCACAATTTCTATACCCATTCCTCCGTTGATGGACATCTGGGTTGTTTCCAGGTTCTGGCTATTACAAATAATGCTGCTATAAACATGGTTGAGCAAATATCCCTTTTGTGTACTCGAGCAAACTTTGGGTATATATCTAGCAGTGGTATAGCTGGGTCTTGAGGAAGCATTATTCCTAATTGTCTTAGAAAGCGCCAGATAGATTTCCAGAGTGGTTGTATCAGTTTACATTCCCACCAGCAGTGGAGGAGGGTTCCCCTTTCTCCACAACCTCTCCAGCATGTGTTGTCCCTTGAGTTTTTCATCTTGGCCATTCTGATGGGTGTAAGGTGATATCTCAGGGTCGTTTTGATTTGCATTTCCCTGATGGCTAATGAGGATGAGCATTTCTTTAAGTGTTTCTCTGCCATTCGATATTCCTCTGTGGAGAATTCTCTGTTTAGCTCTGTTCCCCATTTTTTAATTGGATTACTTGGTTTGCTGCTTTTCAGCTTCTTTAGTTCTTTGTATATACTCGATATTAGTCCTCTGTCAGATAAAGGGTTAGTGAAGATTCTTTCCCAATCTGTAGGCAGGCGTTTTGTTTTGATGACAGTGTCCTTTGCTTTACAGAAGCTTTTCAGTTTCAGGAGGTCCCATTTATTGATTGTTGCTCTTAGAGCCTGTGCTGTCAACATAACCAATTTGAAGAAGAAAGTTTATTTAACTTACTTATTCTTTGTTGCTGGGGTTTTTTGTTGGCTTGCTTTTTTTCGAGATGGTTTCTCTGTGTAACCTTGGCTGTCCTGGATTCACTTTGTACATAGACCAGGCTGGTCTGCCTGCCTCTGCCTCCCTGAGTGCTGGGATTACAGGTGTGTGCCGCCACACCTAGCTTCTTCTTCTTTTTAAATCTTCAATTTAATTAATTAATTACTTAATTTACATCCTTATCACAGCTTTCTTTTCTTCCTCTCCCCCCAGGTCCCTCCTTCACACCTCCCCTACCCTCATCTTCCACTTTTTTTCTCCTCAGAAAAGAAGTCTCCCATGGACATCAATCACATTGGCATATCAAGTTGCAGTAGGATCAACTAACCTGGGCACATAGCGGTTCACAGAGACTGAACTATCAACCTAAGAACATTCGTGGGGCAGGCCCAAGTCCCCTATGCATATGTAACAGATGTGTAGCTTGGTGTTCAGGTGGGACCCCTAATGAGTAGAGCAGGGGTTGTCTCTGACTCTGTTGCCTGCCTTTGGATTCCTTTCCCATAGCCAGGCTGGCTTGTCTGGCCTCAATAGGAGAAGATGTACCCAGTAACTTGACTTAGTTTTTCTAATCATAATCTGTCTTTGAGGGAGGCGAGGCCAGCAACTTAAGCCGTAACAGATGCAGGAAGCAACTGGAGGAAACTTGCTGACTGGCTTGCAAAGGCTCAAATTCAGCTACTTTGCTTATATTTCCCAGGAACTGCTGCCCAGGCACCGCTTATTGTGGACTGAATTCTCTAACACCAATTACTAATCAGGAAGGTGACACCCAGACTTTCCTGCAGGCCAATCTGATGGAGTCATTTTCTCAGCTGAGGCTCCTTCCTCACTGATGACCCTATTTTATGTCAACTTGAAAAAAGAAAGAAAAGAAAGAAAGAAGCAAAGAAACAAAGAAAAAAAAACTAAAGAAAAGACAAAGGAAAAAAAAGAAGCCGACTAACACAAAGTAAATTCTTTTTGTTTCAAGGATCTTGGAGAACCTAAGTCTTTATTTTCAGATTGGTTTTCTGGCTTAGAAAATGAGACAGGATAAGAAGATTATTACAGAAAGTTAAGTTCAGGAATCCTTCCTTATGGTTTCTTCCACCATTGTACTGCAGCTCCCCTTGGGGACTGGGACCAACCGAGAGATAAATTTCCCCATAGACTTTGTATCCTTTAAGATATGGATAAAATCATTGTAGAGTGTTTTTCTACCGTTCCAATTTTCTCACTTTAGTTGGTTGAACCTACTGCTCTCTCAGCCCCTCTGTCTCCCATTACATGTTACACTCCATGACTGAGGGATTTTTACAGAAGAAAAGAAAGAAGAAATGGAGAGAAAGGAGAGGTGATTATATACTCATAGATATAATGAATAGCTTCTGGATGCTGTGCATTGTACAACTACTGTGTGTATGTGTACATGTTCATATGTGCCTCTGTGTCTATCTGTGTGTGTGTCTATGTGTAAGCTTTTCTATTATCAAAATGGTAAAATGATTTGCTTAAGATTAAATGGGTAAATAACATAAGATTTTGAACCCAAGAATTTCTGGCTGCAAATCCTTTCCACCTTAACATTCTACTTTTAAATCCAATGGCTCAGCTTGCTGTTGACTTAAGAAGTTTATTTAAACAGATGACCTTAAATTTGCATAGAATGGCTCCTACCTAGCACTCATAAAACACAGGGAAAAACCGAATGAAAGTAAGATGATAATTGCGAGAGCATTTGTATGTAATTTTCATGTTTTTCACATAACTACACTTTCTACTCATTTTTGAGAAGAAACAGAAGTTAATCCAAGTATAGACAGTAATTTCAGAGCCAGGGTTTGAATCCCAAGATCATGTCCTACATTTGACCCCAATTCACCATCTTCTTGTCTCACATCTTTCACTATCTGTGGTCAAACCACAATGATGATGGCAGATACCATTTCCTTCAACATTCTAATGGTTCCAAAGATACTGATACTGTTAGTAAGGTAATATGTCCACAAATATTGTCTCTAATGTAATGAGAAAAACTGTTAGTCAAATATTATAAGTTTAAGAAACTTATTTTTTTTTAAGGCAGCAAGTCTTTAAAGGAATTTTTTTTATTCTCATCTGAAAGGGAAGATACCATGATTTTGAAGATGGTTCTCCCAGGGCAAGTCTTGTCTATTGCACTCTGTGTGTGCTGACCCCTGAAACTTCCCCTACAGCACAAATTCAACTACATAATTTGTGGTAGTGGGTTACTGTGTTTGAACTTTCCCCTGGAGAATAAAAAGAAAGAAAAAATTGTTTCCACACTGCAAAATTAAAATTTTTTAATTTTATTTTATTTTATTAATTACACTTTGTATCTCCCATAAGCCCCTCCTTCCTCCCCTCCCGATCTCACCCTCCCTCCCCCTTCTTCACGCATGCCCCTCCCCAAGTCCACTGATAGGGGAGGTCCTCCTCTCCTTCCTTCTGACCTTAGTTTATCAGATCACATCAGGAGTGGCTGCATTGTCATCTTCTGTGGCCTGGTAAGGCTGCTCCCCCCTCAGGGGGAGGTGATCAAAGAGCAGGTCAATCAGATTATGTCAGAGGCAGTCCCTCTTCCCATTACTATGTAACCCACTTGGACACTAAACTGCCATCCATGGGCTACATCTGTGAAAGTGAGGAAGCATCAGTGAAAGTTGTTGGCAGAGTCTTTATGAAAAAGCCTGTAATTAATGTGAACCTCTGAAATCAGAATCCAAGGCCGTTAACCAGTCAGTCAACTCCCCTGAGGTTGGCATCACCCACTCACATCTGTTCACGACCAGCAAACTTGAACTGCAGGATGGTCCCCAGAGCAGCATTGTAAAGATGCTATCCGTGGAATGTGAATGCTGCCATTAAATCAACGAGTTGGTTCTCTTCCTCAGTCATGCACGTGTCTTACCTGAATATTCTTTAGATTGTACTGGGGAATGTTACCACCACGATCAGAAGTGATGCTAGCATGGTCATTTGTTTGCTTGTTTGTTTCTTTCATTTCAACATACAGCACAAACTATTACTAACTAAACCAATTTTGATAGACAGAGTGGATGAGGGAGCATAAAGTCATGGGAGAGTACATACAATGAGCAGGGGGTGGGATTAAACCTTGCAATTCAGAGGTGTTTGAGTTCTTTTCCCAGTTATTTTTTGAAGTGATGTAATTAACAAAGCCACACATAATGGAGAAAATGTCTCTAGGACAGTGGTTCTCAACCTGGGTTGTGACCCCCTTTGGCAAACATTTATCTCTAAAAATATATACATTAAGATTCATAACAGTAGCAAAATTACGGTTATAAAGTAGCAGTGAAAGTAATTTTATGGTTGGGTGTCACCACACATGAAGAACTGTATTAAAGGGTCGCAGCACCAGGAAGGTTGAGAATCACTGCTCTAGGGACTTCAGATGAATTAAAAAAAAAAAAAAACATAGCACATTCTCTCCCTTGAGAAATAGTAGTCATTTCAAATTGGATGATTCCTCAATCTCTTACTCAGCTAGCCTGTGACATTTGGGCTAAAAATGTCACTGCTAAGCTTCACATGAAGAGAATAATATCTCCTATTACTTCATCCTAACTACTTTAGTTTGTCATTAAATTTTAGTAAGCTCTAGTTCATCTCACTGGAATAGTTAATCATGTGGATTTTAACTACATTAATTGAGGCTTTGAATTTTAGCAGAAAGAAAAAACATTCTAGATAAAAAATTGTTAGAGAATTGGTGTGTGTGTGTGTGTGTGTGTGTGTGTGTGTGTGTGTGTGTTTGAGAGAGAGCAGTGTAAAAAGGTACTTCATACAGAAAGAAAGAGTTCTTATTGGAGGAAGCAGAGGGAAAAAAGAGGGGGAGAAGAAACAAACATTCCTAATGAAGGCCATTGTTTTGTTTTTATTTTGATAAACTTTCCATATGTCTTGGTTGGGTTTCCATTGCTGTAATCAACATCACACACACACACACACACACACACACACACACACACACACACACACACAAATAATAAATAAAAAAAGCAACTAGGAGAGGAGAGGAAAGGCGTTATTTGGCTTAGGCTTCCACATGCCACTCTGTTACTGTCGGATGTCAGGCAGGAACTCAAGACAGAAACCTGGAGGCAGAGGCTGATGCAGAGGCCATGGCAGCGTGCTGCTTACGACCTTGCTCCTTCTGGGTTGCTTGTTGACTTTTATACACCCAAGGACCACCTGCCACAGGTGGCACCACACACAGTGGGCTGTGCTCCCTCACACCAGTCATTTATCACGAAAATGCCTGTGGTGCAGAAGCAGAGGCCAAACAAACCTTTTGCTCCCCAAGCCACTCTTGGTCATGGCATTTTATCACAGAAATAGAAACCTAACTAAAACATTTTACAAGGTGTTATTCCCAGTCACGTGGAAATACTAAGTGCTGCGTTGGTTTCTTTTGGAAGGGATGAAGCTGACCTTGCCATGAATCACCAACAGAAGCCACCTTGATTAGTATCCTGCAATATTTTAGTAATATATTACATGTGCCAGATCTTATCTGAAAACACTGATTAGATTTTTTTAAAGAAAGGAGCAAAGAGAATATTTTAGACATAGCAGTTTTGCTTAAATTATATTTCCATACCTAAAGAAACAAAGAATTTAAGAACTTCAAACCTGTTAATCTTAGAAATTGGTGTTTTAAAGTTCCTGGTTTCATGAAAGTGGATTGTAAAATCCACTTTATCCGAAGAGGCATGGCCCCTGTCAATGAGGACGGCATCCCAAGCTTTGGCACTCGTAGGGGTACTCTCACAGATAACAGAAAGGAATGAGTGCTGTCTCATGCTCTCAAAAATAAGCATTTAACCAGGAACACCAATAAGCTGAGAAGAGCTAACACCATGAAAGTAAGCAGAAATGAGATCGTAATTTGAAAAGCTTTCAAAATAATATACTAAAATATTCTCAAGGACATAACTAGGAAAAATCACATTTCTGACAAGAAGTTATAAAGCAAAAACAGAAGATTATGAAACAAGAGTAGGCAGCTTTTTTAAAGAGTTCATGTGGTAAAGTGGAAAATAAAATGATTTTAAGAAGAATAGCCAAAATGCAAACTAGTAAGCTAAATGTTGAATTGAATATTTAGAAGCTAAAACACAAAAATAAAATCAAGTGTAATATTAAAAAATCTTGAAAGTTTAAATATAATATCACACATAAATATTGGCAAAAATATAGAAGAGACTATTTATTTTTAAAAATGCCTGAAAACATCCTCAAACTAAAATAAGCAGAATATGTGTTCCTGGGGTTGAGAACCTGAAGAGGATCGCCAAGTACAATATTCCTAGACACTTAGAGGCATAATATCAGAACATCAGGAACACAGACATTTAGAAGCTGCCAGAGGGGAAAGGCAAAAAGCAATGAGAACAGAGTGACAACTGTCATCTCATCTGGCTAAGGTGGGATGTTTCCTTTGTGGCTGAGAATGTCCGTTTTGTGAGTCAGGTACCTTGAGAACAGCAGACACAGTTACCAGAAGAGCTTGTAGTTGAACCCAGAGGCTAGCTCACAGTCTAGTGTTCCTTCCCCCTACTGTACCAAATAAATGCCATTGCATTTTGTGTGCAATTAGAGAATGTGTATTTTTCCTATACATCTTAATATTCCACATATAACACATTATATATGATGATAGAAAACAATGAATTATTTAATTGAAGTATATCAAGCACCCATTCATCTGAGAAGTATATAAATGCTTCAGGTGTTCAAAACGTTGTCTTCATTCATATCGTGTGTGTGTGTGTGTGTGTGTGTGTGTGTGTGTGTTTCTTTGCTCTTACAAAAGAAAAAAGTTTAGCCAAGTAGCCACAAATTGGAATTACAGGATAGGTGGAAGATTTTGTTTCATTCCATCTGGGCATGGTTTCAGAAAATGCTGAAGGTGTCATAAATTAGGTTCTCCCACAGTACTCAAAGATTCCGATGCTCTTCACTCCATTCACTAGGATTACCTTGGTGAGATGAACAATGTGTCTTCTGGTAACATTTGTTAGCTTCAAAAGCAGAAGCCAGCCTGACCTCAGGAGGACTGGGTGATCTTGTCAAGGGAAGTACAACCTAGGGGGCAGAGTTGCCATTTCTTTAACAGGTCATTTGGTTCCACATATAGTAGCTTCTGAAGTCTCTGAACACTCATGTTCTCTTCTCGGTTCCTCTAACATAATGTTTCTATTCCAAGCAAGAGAATTTTCTTGTTCTTTCATTCATTGTGCTGATCTTAATGCAGATCTCTAGCTGGGCTGCTTTGTCCTAGAGAGATGCTCACCCATCTTTCACCCATAAAGGGCCACCTTGAGGCAAATATTTTTCGCCACGTTGTACAAAGTTTGTAATGATCATGTTTTCTCCTTTGTTCTCCTAAAATGTTGTTTGTTTAGTACATCTTGGCAGTTTCTGGATCATCTGAAAACCTTCCTGATCATACTTAGGCATGCTTAGCGTATGTCTATGATTTTATATCTGCTACTGAACTTTACCCACACAATAAAAGGCGCCATTAAAAAGTCCCAGTTAATGAGTGAGAAAGCTCAAGTTAAGGGAACTGAGTAACTCCCTAAAGGTCAGGAAGCAAATAAGTGTCAAATCTGGGACAGACCAATGAGAGCAGCACAACATTGTACATTTAGGCTGAGCACAAAGAGGCCCGGTAAGATTTGCTTCTCAACCCAATCTCTCTGTTCAAGAGCTACCAACATGCTCTGCACAGGGGTAGGAATGTCTTTTCCTAATCGGTCAAAGGTCTACTGAGGGACCTATTTCTCTAAATCCAAAACCCGCATTTAATCTTATGATATCCTTCTAAAACATGAAATAATGATTTCATAGTCCCAGCAAACTGTGAACTCCTCAAGGGCAAAACTATATCCCTTACTACTCCAGCTCCACGTGCCCTATAGTCAGGCACAGAAAAGCCTCCTGTCTCATGTCCTTGACATGAATGGAGTATGCCTCAGGATGAAATTGCTGCACGGCTTTGCAAGGAATTCTGCAAGTGCAGTGGTCTTGAGCAATGCACATGTTGGTAATGTGTTGGGAATCTATAAGTCTGTATACTCACAACTCTGGGAAGGAAGTGACACCAGCTCTCTACCGAGGAGTGAACCTAGACTATGTATGGTCCCTACTGTTTTCACTGGCTTTCAAACAATAGCAGCTCTGTCGTGATGATTTTCTCAGGAAAATCTTTTTATTCTTT